GGGGTCCCCACGCGCTGCGGGGTGCCCTGCGCGCGCCCCGCTTCCCACCTGTCCGCCTTGTTCTGCCGGATGCAGCCCTCGATGATCTCCTTCACCTCGGGGTCCGTCACCTTGTCGAAGCTGGCGGGCTTGATGCCCTGCGAGGGGGGCGCGCGGTGACACCGTGGCGGTGACAACGCGACGGTGACAACGTGGCGGTGACACCGCGGCGGTGACACCATGGCAGTGACACCATGACGGTGACACCGTGGCGGTGACACCGTGACGGTGACAACGCGACGGTGACACCGCGATGGTGACACCGCGGTGGTGACAACGCGGTGGTGACAACGTGGTGGTGACACCGCGATGGTGACACCGTGGCGGTGACAACGTGACGGTGACACTGCGGCGGTGACAACGTGATGGTGACACCGCGGCGGTGACACCATGGCTGTGACACCATGGTGATGACACCGCGATGGTGACACCGCAGCGGTGACACCGCGATGGTGACACCGCGCCGGTGACAACGCGACGGTGACAACGCGATGGTGACACCATGACAGTGACACCGTGACGGTGACAACGCGACGGTGACGCAATGGTGACAACGTGACGGTGACACCGTGACGGTGACACCATGGCTGTGACACCATGGTGATGACACCGCGATGGTGACACCGCGACGGTGACAACGCGACGGTGACACCGTGGTGGTGACAACGCGGCGGTGACACCATGACGGTGACGTGACGGTGACAACGCGACGGTGACACCATGGTGATGACACTGCGACGGTGACACCATGACGGTGACACCATGGCTGTGACACCATGGTGGTGACACCGCGACGGTGACAACGCGACGGTGACACCATGGCAGTGACCCCGCGACGGTGACAACGCGACGGCGACATCATGGTGGTGATAACGCGACGGTGACAACACGATGGTGACAATGCGACGGTGACCCGACGGTGGTGACAACGTGGCGGTGACACCGCGGCGGTGACACCATGGTGGCGACACCGTGGTGGTAACACCATGGTGTTGCCACCACGACGGTGACACCACGGTAGTGACACCACAGCAGTGACACCACGCTGGTGACCCCATGGTGTTGCCACCACGGCGGTGCCATCGTGGCGGTGACACCGTGACAGTGACACCACGCTGGTGACACCACAGTGTGGCCACCACGGCGGTGCCAGCGCGCCGGTGCCAGCGCGCCACTCACGCTGGTGACTTTGCGGTAGATCTGCGCGGCGTTCTGGCACTCCGAGTAGGGGTACTCCGAGGTGCCCATCTCCAGCAGGCACATGCCGAAGGCGTAGACGTCCACCGACTCGTCGTAGCGCTCCTCGTACATCTCGGGCGCCATGAACTCCGGGGTGCCTGGGGGGGACGGGGGGGCTCAGCACCCGACGGCACCCAGAGCCATGGGGGCGCCCAAGGCTC